TCTCTCTCTCTGTCTCTCTCTCTCTCTCACACACACACAGATCTGAGTCTGACTCACGTGTGGACGGTTTTTTAAAAACCGTATGTCGCCGTCTATCTTCCGAGGTGTTGTCTCCATCTCAGCCTGGTTGGCCCTGGTCAATAAATGGGTCGAGATCAGTCGCTCCCTAAACGATCCAAAGTGTGTCGACTGAGGGCCTCAGACGCTTAGAATTAATTATTTTTCTTGCCCCGGCCAGGATATCCAACAAGGTGGTCGGCCATTTGTGTACCACGAGGTCATTGACATGGGCGGCGAGGCTATCAAGGGATCCGAGTACTTGGATGTTGGGCGTGTCACAAACTTCAAGTTTGGAATAGAGGTCGCCCGTTTGTTCAAGTAAGTTTAGCAGTGTCACAAACTTCAAGTTTGGTAGAATAAAAGTTGCCGGTTTGTTCAAGTAATTTTATGAATATAATAGCCTTCAAATTTGGAGTAGGTGTTGCCTGCTTCTTCAAGTAAATTTAACAATGTCATTGACTTCAACTTTGAAACTGAGGTTACTCGTTTATTCAAGTCTCTCTATCTCTCTTTCTCTCTGTTTATTTATAAGTCTGTCTGTCCTGTCTGTCTGTCTCTTTGTCTTTCTATCTCTTTGTATCTCCTTAGCTCTCCCTAGCTCTCTAGCTTTCTGCCTCTCTATCTCTCTGTCTTTCACGTGCACTTTATCGCACTCAGGCACTCTCTGATAGATGCACTTATCCATACACATAAAAACACAATCATACATGCATACACATTCACATACACTAACACACACACACACACACACACACACACACACACACACACTCACTCACTCACATGCGCACATGCGCACACACATACACACACACATACATACACTCTCTTCGAAATGCCCCATAATACTGTGACAAGTATGAGTTAAAAACTCAACAACTGATGAAACCTTTGGGAAGGATATTCACATAATTTGGATACGTCGTAAGTTTTCTCTTCTATTTTCTTCTCTTTCATAATGCTTGACCAAGTATTCCGTTTTAACCCTATCCGTACTCCTGGGGTCATTTTATACCACAGGGGTTGTATTCTTCACATTTTAGAATACTTCTAGTACGAACATCTCTTTGAAACTTTCAGTATTTAAAAAAAAAACACACATTTTGACAGACTGCTATGCAAAGCGTACATATTGGATTAACGAGTAAATTTCCTCTTTGGAAAGTGGTTGCACACAGTTCCCCTTGTCGTACGGGTACAATAGTAAAACACGACGTACGGATAGGGTTAAACAAACGTTCTAAGTGTCCAGTAAGACTCGTACAAAAAAGAATATCGTGTCGTCCAGGCATCAGAACGCATTAAAATTCCTGGGCAACTGGGGCCAGGCCTGGGGCATGGAAGCCACGGGAGATGTCGTCAACTTTGTGGACAACCACGACAACCAGAGAGGTCACGGAGGCGGGGGGAGTGTACTCACTCACTGGGACCCCAGACCCTACAAGGTGAGAAGGTACACACACA